GTAATTTTATTTTTTTTCAAATTTGAACTCAAAGTTCTTATTATTGAAGAGATTTCAGAATTTCATTTTTGGACTTACTAGCTATTAATTTTTTTTCTGTATTAAGTTTGTTCAAGTTTTGTTGTTGTTGTGAATTTATAGCCTAAAAATGGGGCATGTGAATTGTGGTTTTTTTCGTAATACTAAGTATTTTATGTATATATTTTCTAAAATTGGTATAATATTATTTGTTGGCAAGAATGGTGTACTTGGTTGAATGTTGAGTTATTTACCTAAAGGAGTAAGGATCAGTTTCTGTTTTGTAGTTTGTACCATCTTATATTTGTTGTTTATATCCGATTATTGCATTATTTCGTTGTTGTTACTGCTCTCCCTCGTGTTTGTTGTGTAATACTCTCCATTTCGCATTATTTTGTTGTTGCTCCCATATCTGTATCCCACTTTTACAAACTGTTTGAGAGGCTTTGTTTAAGCTGAAGGTCTATCGGAAATAACCTCTCTATCTCTATTTGGTAGGAGTAAGGTTTGCAGTACACTCTTACCTCCTAAGACCCCACTTGTGGGATTACATTGAGTATGTTGTCGTGTCCGTGCAAACTATATTTCATGGTTGCTCTCTGAAAAAGGCTATTTCACTCCTAACTATTTGTTTACCTCGTTTTCCTTAGCGTAAATGGATCTGAGTGTAAATAGCTTTCTCTCATCACAAATCTTGTGATACATATATATGATACACATTAAAATGAACATATTTAAGCAGGGAATCCTAGTTGAACGATTGACCGATATCCCTCCTAGTCGTTTTCAATTATATAGGTAATCAAGTGAGCATAACGAGAAAATGATTATCATGTGTTTTACACCAAACCAAACAATTTAATTCACATCCGTGGATGGGAAGCAGAGTTAACAGATTGAGTACGCGTCATCATTTTTTTTTTTAGTTGGTCCAAATTTGTTTAGTATATCTCCTATCATAGAAGGGCCTTTATAGTTGTCAATGTAGGTAGAGAAGGGCATTTATAGGGTCTATCACCTATCGGAATCAGCCTCCCTATCCTCACAAGGTAGGGTAAGGTTTGCGTACACTCTTCCCTCCTCAGATCCCACCTTTTGGGATTATACTAGGTTGTTGTGTATTTGATATAACATAAATTGTCTTGCTTCACTTCTTGTATACACCAATTCATCTTACTTTTATTGAACTACTTATGTTATTGATCGTATTTGTTTCTCGATGGTTCTCAAATGTCTGCCCGAGGATCATTCACAAAATCTCAGTACATTTTTTGATAAATTCATTTCGGTTTGTTAATATACACGGTGCTACCGTTAGAAGAATCGTATGAGATATATACCAATCTCTGTTTGCCAGATACTGAGGTTAAAGCTACAGAATTGATCAGCAGATAGTCGTATTCACAGTTTCACGCAAGGGTATGGTATTGACGTAGCTTTCTCGTAAATGAAACACAGGAATGTCCTTCAAATGGCAGAACACCGATACAACGATGACCATAAAGAACAGAAAGCTGCAGGTACTTTGTGACAGTTATAACTTATAGTTATGTGGTTTGATGGTGTAGAAATTATACGTTGTGTATGGATTACTAAAAAGCCTCTTTTTTTCTCCCCTATTTCCCATCCTCAGGACAATGGCTATGGTCCAAGCATCAATGAGGACGATTCAAGCAAGTTAGGCCTGGAAGATTATCGTCCCATCGATCCAGTTCCTAGCTCAAAAGCTTCCGTAAAACCAGGACCTGTTGAGCATGGTACTCCTCTTATGCCTTATATTCCTAAGCCTTCACCTCCTCCTATTAGCACCATCGATGGGCTCCCATAAGCTCATCGTTAGTCCACTTCCACCGCTGTGCTAAAGTTGGGCAAATGTTGTTTTTTCCTTCAGAAAAGCTGTCTTTGCTAATTTTGTGTTGTTCCTGTAAATTTTTTCGTTGAAACTTTCTGTATTACCATGGCATGTAACTTATAGTACGCCACTAGCTAGGCGATACTTGCACAAGTTATCAGTTATTTATGTAGTTGAATTTCGTACATAACTGATGATTCTTTGCTAGGTGTTGCAAGGGTAGGAGTAATTGTTAAGCCACTCGTTGGCCCTATTTAATCGCGTAGTTATATGTAATCGAATGAGCTGCACCATCCATGAGTTTTTGGCACTAGGTAGTTCTTCTAACTTACTTTATAATTATCACTAGTTATAGACTGCATACACTATAGTTTCAGACTTGGACCAGAAATTGTAGTGATAATTGAACCGAGGGTCTTATCAGAAACAACCTCTCTACCTCCCAAGATAGGGGTAAGATTTATGTACACACTACCGTCCTCAGACCCCACTTATGAGATTACATTGGGTATGTTGTGGTTGTAATTATGATGATAGTAGTAGTCTTGTTAGGCAACTAATCATGTCTAGAAGTGTTTGAAGATAAGAGTCTCCTTGTTAGATTTTCTTGATCAATAATTGTTAGCCTTGACAACGGTAAGATTTGTTGTCGTGTGATCAGAGGGTCACAGGTTTAAGCCATGAAAATAATCCCTCTTGCATAAATAATCTAAGGTAAGGTTATGTATAGTAGACTCAATATGGTTCAACCTTTCAATATAGACGCTACACATGACAAAAGCTTAGTACATTGGACTCGTCAATCTAGTTCAGAAGAGAGGAAAAATGAAAATAAAATAAAATAGAGAGTATGAATTGCAAAATTAATTTGTAACTCAATGATTGATTTATAATTTAGTGTAATAAAATGAATCAATTAAATATTCAAATAGTCACTTTCTCCAAATTGTATTCTATATTTACCAAAAAAAATTAATTGTGCTAATATTTTGTCCTCCCACTCAAATAGACATGTAACAACTATAATTGAACTTCTCAAAATAATTGTCTTAATTTCTTAGCTGGATGAGGACTTTCCACCTCATCTTCACCGGAGCGAAAACCCGACCAATATTCCGGCAATGCCGGAAGGTTCAAGTCAAAGTTGTTGACCGACCCCACACCGTTCAACGACGATGACGATGACGTCACTTTCCCCTCATAGTGACGCCTCTTATGGCCACCCAAAGCTTGTCCAGTTGGAAAAGTCTTGTGACAAATGGAACACTCATGAGTCCATCCACTAACCGCATTACCTGACGTGATGACTACAGATTGTTCGTAGACTTTATCTCTGTTACTACGATGACTAGCTTTGTGTCCTCCTAAAGCTTGATAAGATCCAAAACACTTACCGCAAACTGAACACTTGTAAGAATTCTTACTAGTAATATTGTTATTGTTATTGTTATTGCTGTGTGCGAGCATGAGTAGACACAAAGCTAAGTATTCATCTTCGGAAATAATTGGTTGTTGTTCCTCCATGACGATGCTACGAGGTCGTTTCGATCTGATCTTGCTTTTTGTCCATGATTCAAGGTAATTTTGAGTAGTAGTATTAATTTGGAATTGAAATAGTGATGGTGGAGTTGTGGTGGTTGGAGAGTTCAAAGCTTCAAGTGCCATTACTAGTTGGTTTTTTTCTTAGTGAATGAAGAAATTTGTGAGTGAAAAGAAGAGAAAGAGTTGGAATTATGTTTGTTGATTTTGAGTGAGTGAAGTGGTGAGGGAGATTTGTAATATATAAAGGGGAGGAATTTAGAGAAGGAAGTTGCAAGTGAAGAAGTAGGAAGGAGAGAGTGGAGCACATTTGACAAAGATATTAATTACTTGAGGGCCAAGTGGAACTTTGTTTAGTACTGAGGCGGCGGAGCTAGGTGGGGGATCATGGGTTCGGACGAACCCAGTAGCTTTTCTATAGACTTTATATTTGTACTAGAAAATTAATTAAATATATATGTATATTAATTTGTGAACCCTTAACAACATTGATTGACGGTTATTAACGAAATTTAGAACCCCCAAACTCTTAATCCTGGCTTTGCCTCTGTAATATGGCCACCAACAAAGACGGCTAAAAAGGATGCAAGGTATTTCACTCCTATTTGGTTTTATTCTTCCACTTTAGATAGGGATGACAATAGAGCGAGGTGGGGCGGTGCAGATGTAGGGCGGATTCAAACATTTTAATTTTAAAAGAGAGTGGAGTGATGTATTAGTCAGTCACTCAAATATAGTTGTATTTTAAATAATAAAGTTAAAATCGAAAATTTATTTTTAAAATAGTAAAGTGAATGGAGAGAATATATATTAATTGAGACAGTTGCCTAAGCTGCATGTAGACTATGGACTCTATCAAAAGTCAAAACACATCTCTTTCCTCAAGATATAAAATGATTGGTGGAGGTTTAAGATTAATACATTTGGAAGATGTATACATCTCCAATAACCAATGTATAATTTTTTTTTATATCAAAGTCCAAATCAAATATCTAAAGTATTCAAATTTTGACTCCAACAAACTCTATCAATCTATTCTCAAAAGCGTCTATACAGAAGATCCTTTATTCAGTCTGTCTTATTTTCAAGCTTCTACAGCTTACTTTGTCATTCTATTCTCAAAAACGTGTAGATAGAAGATTTTTTTTCCAGACTGTCTTATTTTCAAACCTCTACGGCCGGCAGAGGAAGAAGAGAAGGAAAAGAGGAAGTACAAGTTTGCCCAAACTATGCCCATTCCTAATTAGAGGTTGGGCATATTTCACAATATTGACCTAAATCTTGTGTGACTTTATGAGCCACCAGCAGCCTTAACAACTTCCAACTTTGACTGTAATTATTAATTCCCACTATTGTTGATGTATGTAATTAATGATTAAATGACTATAGTTTGGTTTTTATATTACGAGTTGTAGCTACACTTTTACTGTTTACACTTTACAGCAAACTTTGGTTGCTAAAGGACTTTACTTTATTTAGTATATTTGTTCGCGCAACAAATATAGTTTGTGTGTCAACAATATTTGTTCGTGCAATAAATACAATCAAGGCGAAATATATTTGAGTTTTGGTATATGAAAAAGGCACAAAATCAAGGCAAAATAATAATAATAATTTCTTTAAAAGAATAAATCAAATGAATGAAACAATCAAATAATCACTTTCACCAAGAGTATATATAGCTTTGTTTAAGTCTTCAAGTCCTATTGTTGTTGGAATAATTCAAGTGAAGGAAATTGTCTTAATTTCTTAGTTGGATGAGGACTTTCCACCTCATCTTCGCCCGAGGCAAAACCCGGCCAATTATCTGGTAACACCGGAATATTCAAGTCAAAGTTGTTGACCGACCCCACACCGTTCGACGATGATGATGACGTCACCTTCCCTTCATAGTGCCGCCTTTTGTGACCACCCAAAGCTTGTCCAGTTGGAAAAGTCTTGTGGCAAATGGTACATTCATGAGTCCTTCCACTAACCACATTACCTGACGTGATGATTACAGATTGTTCGTAGACTTTATCTCTATTACTACGATGGCTAGCTTTGTGTCCTCCTAAAGCTTGATAAGATCCAAAACACTTACCACAAACTGAACACTTGTACAAATTCTTACTAGTAACATTGTTATTGTTATTGCTGCGTGCGAGCATGAGTAGACACAAAGCTAAGTATTCATCTTCGGTAATAATTGATTGTTGTTCCTCCATGACGATGCTACGCGATCGTTTCGATCTGATCTTGCCTTTAGTCCATGAATTCAAAGCTTCAAGTGCCATTACTATAGTTGTATTTTTCTTAGAGAATGAAGAATTTGTTGTGAGTGAATAGAAGAAGGGATATTTATAAGTGAATATATAGTTGGTGAGTGGGATATATAGAAGGAAGTTGCTAGACAAGTAGTAGGAAGGTAGTAATTATAATTATTAGGTAGTTGATTAATAAGTAGAATTGAATGAAATTGAAAAATGAGCAAGTTGAAGTAGTGAATATTTTATTAAATGCAAGTGGTATAGACTATAGTATATATTAGACTATGGAAAGCTAAACAAAATGTATATTGACTTATATTTTGTGTGACTTTTTCAGCCGCCAGCAGCCGCTTGCTTAACAACTTGTCAACTTGTCAAAAGGGTATGAAATGTTAAATTAGAATTTGTGGTTAAATCCCGTCTCAAAAGCTAACTTAAAGAAAGGAAGATTATCAAAAACTTATAAAGAGTTCAATATTTGATACATTCAGCGACAAGAGACATTTCATTCATTACCTCTTAAGCTCAGACTCAAATATTTTTTATTTGGTGTTTCACTGTTTGATCTGGTGCGTACACATTCATGGACTGGGGAATGTCTACCCTCCACAACTATCCGATTTCCTGGGGCTAGGGATGGATATAAAATCGAAAATTTGAATTGAACAGAATCGAACTAATTCGATTCTTCAATTTTGGTTGTAATTTTCTTAAGCTTCGGTTTAGTTCTCAGTTTTAGGATCTCGATACTTCAATGCACCGAAAAACTAGATTTTATTAACATATATATGAAACTTGTGGCCTAAAATAAGTGATAGATATTTGTGTGACTATAAATCATTTCATTTAAAGATAAAATGAGCATTTTAAAGTTAAATTGTTACTAAATATAGAAATGTGTCATTTTTTGTGAGTCATATAATTTGATACAGAGTGGATACTATTTATTCTTTTTTAATATTTTCAAAATTCAGTTTTATACGGGGTTTTTTCTTTAAAAAATCTAAAAACTAATGAGGTAATGAATCGTGTTGCGTAAATGGGCCTGACAAAGTGGGCTAATATATATGCGCCGAAAGGCCTTATGATAATACAAGTCTAGATGGAAAATTTGCACAAATAGGATCTTTGAGTGCCACCATTTAAATTTTAGCCTCATTGAAAAAACAAGGAAAAATTACTTAAATACACAACACTTCTTTACCTATTCTCAATATTTCCCTACTCTTTCATTAAAATACAAAAATCCCTTATTTTCCCCCAATTCAACTTAACCGGATACTTTATTAGTTTAAGTATCCGCGCTGATATATTATGCATCCGCCCGTTAATTAAGTATCCATGCTGCTAACAACTTAATACTTTAAGTATCCGCCCGTTATTAATTAAAGTATCCGCGCTGCTATATTAAGTATCCACACTGCTATATTATGTATCCGAAAAACACTAAAAAAGGGAATTTTGGTAATTAATGAAAGAGTAGGGAAAGGAAGTAATTTCTTTCTTATACTATGTCATTTGCCTAATTTTTACAAACAAGGATGCCAAAATAATAAAGTATGTAACCTAATTGATTCATGAGAAATATTGTTATATTCAGCGCGATATTCTCATTTGATCACTTTAATTTTAACATGTAGGAGTCAACCTGCTCAAATTCAGTGTGATCTATCTATTTGACCACTCTAATTTTAACCAGTAGGGTTTGACTATACTCTATTTCATATGGTAACATAGGTAAAACGGGCCTTCTTCTAAGAACGAATGGAACCAAGTGAGTGGTTCAACCACATAGCTTCGAATTTCCAGAGAGAGTAGAATAAAAGAGTAAGAACTCTTTTTTATAGATTTTAAAAGTTTAAATAAGTGTGTGTAAACGTGAAGTGTTGTATTTTAATTTAGGGTGTTCCTTGTCTTTTTTGGGGATATTTTTGATAGCAAATCAACCCTTCACAATTTCAATATCAACTTTGATTTTAAAAGTACATATAGTGATCGATGATCTCTTTTATACATATAAAAAATATTTAGTGATAATAGATTTCTCTTTTAAGATCGCCGCAAAAATATTTAACGGCAATTGAGTTAATGTATTACATTCAGAATCATTTATATAAAGGGCTGGTAATTGATATGCTTTATATATGTCTACTATATGAAACATGAGAACTACTCATGATCAAGATTAAAAAAATGTGTTTTTACATAGTTAGCATATGGGGACATTAATGTCTTATATCACAATAATTAAAAACAAAATGACATTTGTTTATTGCTTCCAAATTCATAAATTAATTAGAGGTCAAGTCCCATTCCATTATAAGCAATTGGTGCATACATCCACATATCATCTGAGCTCAGTAACTGCAGTAAAATAAAAATATTTAATTATTCATTCAATAAAATAATAAAGTAAAGAAAGTGAAAAAAGGGATATTTTTATTTTTATTACCTTAATTTGTGTCTGCAAAAACTTCACATAATGGACTGCTTCTTCAAGCATTGTGCTTAAGTCAACCTGAATTATATCAATTAAAAAACTCAATTAGAGAATTCTTGATTACATAAACAAATGTTATGTACATCATTTCAAGCCATACTGCTCAGACTCTCCAAAATTGTCATAGCACCCGTGTCAAATCTTTTTTAAAAAAATTATTTAAAAGGATCTGACATGCACTTATCAATATTTTTGAAGAGTCTGAGCAAGCATAGATTTTACTGATTAATGAAATAAACATTGTTTACCTTTGTGCCATTAGGGACAAGACCTTGCAAGATTCTCAATCTTTCATTGATTCTTTCTCTTCTTTTCTGCATTTTTGGTAAATGAAACTATTAATTTCAGGATTTGACTTATATACACGAATAATATAAAGAAATTTTCACTATCAGCGTAATTTAACATGGTGTAGCAGATAACTTGTCTTATTTTACATATTTCACTTTTTATGAACAGTTACATGTAGTTATCTTTCAGGTTACGCGTAATTGAATAAAATGTTATGTTCTTACCCTTGCATAAAGGCTTTGTGGATCTGTTGCAGCTCCTCTACTGGCCCTTGTTTTGGTTTTTAAATTTGAATCATCCTCAGAACTGCAACAGCTTGTGCTTTGTCCATTATTATTAGTCTCTTTGTCTCCAACTTCTTCAGTGTTCATTTGAATGTTCTTTTGGTTCTTTTTGGCTTTTGGTTGGCTATTCTTCTTATTTTTTGGTCCCTGCATTGAGTAAATAATTAACCCCTATTACAAATTATCATCTCGAGCTATATTGTTCGGATTTTCCTAAAATATTGCCACATTTATCAGATTCTTCGAATATAACCTAAGAATTTGACATGGACGATATTTTTGAAAAGTTTGAACAACAATCATTGAGTTCAAGATTCTAATAGAAAGATAATGAATGTCTGAGGTTGATTTCTCAGATGGTCACTTATTATTTCAGAAAGTCACCTTTTTCAACAAAGAAAGCGACTTTATGAAATAATAAATATTAATTGAGTGACTATCAAACTCGAATTTATGTTACTCACATGATCTCTTGACACCTTTGATTTCTTGTTAGGATTTTCAGATTCCTTGATTTTTTCCTCCTCTGTTATTGATTGAACTTCAACTTTATCAAACTTCCTCTTGAGCAACATTTCATTATCCAATTGGCTATAATTATTGCCAATATTTTCTTTCATAACATAATCATCATTAGACAATGAATTTTCAACATTCTTGTTGCCCATCATGTAAAAATTAGTGGACTCAACATCATAATTATGTTGTAAATATTCATGACTTGTGTTGTTGTTGTTGTTGAGAAAAAATATATCACCACTTCCTCTACTATCAATACTATTTTCTTGAGAAAAATAATCTATGTTACTAGTACTATTTAAAGTATGAGAATTAGAAGAAGAAGAAAAAAAACTCCCTTCAATAATATTATCCTCACCATGTAATTGAAACATGAAATCTGATGAATTTTCATTAAAGAACATTTTGCTCAAAGATTGACAATATTCTTCATCAAAAAATGCTCCCATTTGCTCCATTATATATTGAGTGATTTTTTTACTAAATATTATTCTCAAAAAGTGATAGGACAAAATAAGGTTTTTGAGGATGTATCTTACTTGGAATATGAGACAAAAGATAGGAACTTATTTATACTAGTACTAGAAAGGGTTATAAGTTAAGGAAATAGAAGAATGTTTATTAAATAAATAATTGATACTCCTCTTTCCGTTCAATTTGTTTGTTCTGTTTTAATTTTATAAGAAAATAAAAAAAATTGAATCTCGTAATATGTCAAATATACTGAAATGTTATTTAACCTTGTGATCTGAAATGTATCATGTAAAGAGTTGAAAATAAAAAAATACGTTCTTTATTAAATAGATTAAAGAGGAAAATAGGACAAATAAATTGAAACGGAGGAAATATTATTTGTATATTAAAATCTATAATTCCATAAGGAATCTTTATCACCAGGCAATGTACAACTAAGAAGTGGGACCAAGTTCATGCAACTAATAAAATAAAAATTGTGTCATTCTTTTAATTAGAGAGATTAATCATTAATGAAATCTTGGACTAATTAGAAAGATAACTGTCTTAATCTAATCATTGGGACAGTATGACTTCTAATATTTAAGTTTTAATCCACTGATTAATGAATTAAATTGTGTTGCTAAATATTATTAATGATAATTTATGAGTTTCGCAGAAAGAGAGAACAAGAAGAAGTAAACTAAGTTAAGAAAATAAAGAGAAACATTTCTCTACAAATTATATATTTCTTGTTGGCTTGTACTCATTTTCATCGCCCTAGATTTAAAGTGAAAACTTTAATATTTCGTTATTATAAAATGAGGGGACATCATGAAATTGTACAGGCTAGTTAAAGTGAGAGGGAAAAGTTTGTAATCTGGACTAAGTGAAGTGTATCAAGGATAATGAAAATAATGTATTATTGGAGAAACTTATTAGACGTAAAAGACGGACATACTTCTACAATCTCTTTAATTGAAGAGGGGAACATGACTATTGTATTAGGGGGCTATGCTTGAAATGAGCAGGGTATTTCTTCGATTTATAAATACATTTGATGTTTCTTCGATTTATTTTCATAAACCTACTTAATTATTTGGTACGATGATAAATATTTATTAAAATCTATGATATAATAAAAGAAACCTAATATTTTCCGATACAATCAATTAAAGTGATTTTTTTAAAACCATTTAAATTTTAACACTTATGCTTACTTTATTAATCTTATAGTTGTCTTGTTTTATTTTATTTTATTTCTTTCGTAATTGAGTTCCCATTACCTATTAACAGAATAAATCGAAATATAATAAATTAATTAAGATACACTAGCTGGCCAAACATCCCCATACGTTATGAAAGTAAAAAAAAATTTTAAAAAATAAAGTAATTGAGAGAACGTGATGATATATAAAGAAGAAGAAAAATGGAAAATGTTAAAAAATATACAGCGTTTGAAAATATTTATATTACATAGTTCAATAAATAATATTATAGAATATTACATCTGAGAGAAAATTATTATATTTAATGTATTAATTTTGTATGAAAGATATTTATACACAATTATAAGATAAATAATGTATTTAAGTAGATTTTACACAATTTCATAGTGTTAAAAGTTAATTAAGTATATTTTATCCCTATCTTTTTCAAATTACAAACCTTAAATTTGATGGAATTTGGATACATTTCAAAACGTTCCGGTACATCGGGTCTCGATTTCGGACACATCCATCAACATCCAGATATATCGCGTTTTGGTTTCGGATATATCACATTATGATATATTGTGTATGTCTTGATACATCGCGTAAAGTGATGCATCCAACTGATACATCGCGTAAAATGATGTATTCGACTGATATATTGCGTAAAATAATGTCTCAATACATTGCATATATCTCGATACATCGTTAAGTAATGTATTCAACCTATAAATCGCGTAATTGAGTGGGTGGATGTGTGTGTGTGGGGGGGGGGGGGGGGTGGAGGGGGGGGGGGGG